TGTGTTCTTGGATAGTAAGAATCAATATGTTAAAATGACCATTCTACTCAAGGCAATCTACAGATTCAATGCAATTCCTATAAAAATACCAAGGGTATTTTTCACAGAACTAGAACAAATAATTTTATTATTTTTTCTTTTATTCCAGTTTAATTAATCACATTAAAAAATTAATTTTTATTAGAGTATAGCTGATTTATAATGTGTTAGTTTCTGCTGTACAGCAAAGTGAATAAATTATACATCTATCCACTATTTTTAGATTCCATTCTCATATAGGTCATTACAGAGTATTGAGCAGAGTTCCTTGCGCTACACAGTACGTTTTTATTAGTTATCTATTTTATTTATAGTAGTGTGTGTATGTCAATCCCAATCTCCCAATTTATCCCTTCCTCCCTTTCCACCTTGGTAACCATAAGTTTGTTTTCTACATCTGTGACTCTATTTCTGTTTTGTAAATAGGTTCATTTGTACCATTTTTTTAGATTCCACATATAAGCGAAATCATATATTTGTCTTTGTCTGACATACTTCACTCAGTATAACAATATCTAGTTCCATCCATGTCACTGCAAATGGCATTATTTCCTTCTGTTTTATGGATGAGTAATAGTCTATTGTATATATGTACCACATCTTCTTTATCTATTCACCTGTCAATGGACATTTAAGTTGTTTCCATGACCTCGCTGTTGTAAATAGTGCTGCAATGAACTTTGGGGTGCATGTATCTTATAGTGGCTGTACCAATTTACATTTCCACCAACAGTGTAGGAGGGTTCCCTTTTCTTCACACCCTCTCCAGCATTTATTATTGGTAGATTTTTTTGATGATGGCCATTCTGACCAGTGTGAGGTGATATCTTATTGTAGTTTTTATTTGCATTTCTCTAATAATTAGTGATGTTGAGCATAGAACAAATAATTTTAAAATTTATATGGGAACACAAAAGACCCCAAATCTCAAGAAAGAACAGAACTGGAGGATTCATGCTCCCTGACATCAGACAATATACAAAGCTATAGGAATCAAAACAGTTTGGTACTGGCACATAAACAGACACATAGATCCACAGAAGAGAATAGTGAGCCCAGAAATGCACCCACGCACTTATGGTCAATTACTCTATGACAAAGGGGGCAAGAATATACAACGGAGAGAAGACAGTCTCTTCAATAAGTGATTCTGGGAAAACTGGAAAGCTACATGTAAAGGAATGAAATTAGAACATTCTATAACACCATATATGAAAATAAAATTAAGATAGATTAAAGATCTAAATGTAAGACTGGATACAATGAAACTCCTAGAGAAAAACATTCGCAGAACACTCTTTGACATAAATCCCAACAATAGTTTTTTGGATCTGCCTCCTAAATTAAAGGAAATAAAAGCTAAACTAAACAAATTGGATCCAACTACATGTAAAAGCTTTTGCACAGCAAAGGAAACCATCAATAAAATGGAAAGACAACCTACTGAATGGGAGAAAATATTTGCAAATGATATGCCCGATAAGGGATTAATAGCCAACATATATAAACAGCTTGTACAACTGAAAATCAAAGAAGCAAACAACCTGATTAAAAATGGGCAGAAGAACTGAGTAGACACTTTTCCAAAGAGGAAATGCAGATGGCCAACAGGCACGTGAAAAGATGTTCAATGTTGCTAGTCATCTGAGAAATGCAAATCAAAACCACAATGAGATATCACCTCACACCTGTCAGAACAGCTATTATCAAAAAGAACACAAATAGCAAATGTTGGCGAGGATGTGGAGAAAAGGGAACCCTCCTACACAGTTGGTGGGAATGTAAATTGGTACAGCCACTGTGGAAAACAGTATGGAAGTGTCTCAAAAAACTAAAAATAGAACTACCATATGACCCAGCTATTCCACTCCTGGGTATATATATATCCAAACAAACAAACAAAAAAACCCTGAACCACTAATTCGAAAAGATACATTCAGGACTTCCCTGGTGGTCCAGTGGTTAAGACTCCGCACTTCCAATGCGGGGGCCCAGCTTCGATCCCTGGAAGGGTAACTAAGATCCTGCACGCCACATGGCGTAGTCAAAAAATTTAAAAAAAGAAAGAAAAGAAAAGATACATGCACTCCAATGTTCATAGCAACATTATTTACAATTGCCAAGGTATGGAAGCAACCTAAGTGTCCATGAAGAGATGAAATGGATAAAGACATGGTATATATATATATATATATATATATATATATAGGAGGAAATAAAACTCAGCCATAAAAAGGAATGAAATTCTGCCATTTGCTACTATGTGGATGGTCCTAGAGAGTATTATGCTTACTGAAATAAGTCAGACAGAGAAATACAAATACTGTATGTTTCACTTATATGTGGAATCTAAAAAGTAAAACAAATGAATGTATATAACAAAAAAGAAACAGACTCAGACATAGAGAATAAACTAGGGGTTACCAGTGGGGAGAGGGAAGGGTGAAGGGGCAAGATAGGGCTATGGGATTAAGAGAAAATAACTACTATGAATAAAATAAATAAGCTATAAGGATATATTGTACAACACAGGGAAATATCGCCATTATTTTGTAATAACTTTAAATGTAGTATAATGTATAAAAATATTGAGTCACTATGTTGTACACCTAAAGCTAGTATAATATTGTAAATCAAATATACTTCAATAAAAATTTTCTTCAGTGCTTAAAGTGAGCATGGCGAGATAACAGGCCTTGTCTCAGGACCAAGCATAACATCTGATTATTGGGAAACAATAAACAAATGTTTATTAAACATTATGGGAAACATTATGGGAAACATTATGGGAAAATAATGAAACAGCACTTTCCCTCTCTCCCAAGGAAGTCCAAAAACAGTTCAAGGTTCCAAGGGATGCACAGCACCAGCTCAGACTCCTGTGGTCCTGGATGTTCTGTTCCAACAGAGTCCCCTCTTGGACCAATGGAAAGCATGGAATAGTGCACCTTCAATATCATCTTCTACGAAAAATTTTGTTATAACTGAATACAAAATGTAGTTCCTACCTCTCTAGTAGCCAATAGAAAAGGTAAACTCAACTACAAATTAGGAAACATAACAATTCCTTAGTGGAGAAGCTAGGTTGCAAAAGAAATTTGTCATGAGAGGCCTGTATATAGAAAACAAAAAACAATCTAATGGACCATGTCAAATCCAGTCCCATCCTGGTTTGGCAATTTGAAATACATTTGTATATTTTGAACATGTAGAATATGTCATTTTTCAAGCAAAATTCAAGGAAAATTACGTGTTTTACTTTAAATTTCACATTAATTATAAATTAAATTTTGTCTCCAGTCTTGCTTGCATGAGTGGGAGAAAGAAAGTTGGCAACAATACCAAAGAGAAAATGCCTTATATAGCATACAATTCTTTGCATTGCTCGTATTATATAGTCTATATTCAACGCTGTTTGTTGAATGTCTGAATGAATGTTCCAGAAAGAGAGGCTTTTTGGGGGTGTTGGGGGGCACGCTGTTTGGCTTGTGGGATCTTAGTTCCCTGACCCAGGCCCTCAGGCCCTTGGCAGTGAGAGCACCGAGTCCTAACCAGTGGACCACAAGGGAATTCCCGGGAAAGAGAGGCTTTAAACTAGAGCTCCAAGGCAACAGAGGATTCTCTACCAGCCAGCCAAGGACTAAATTATTAGCATCACAATCTACAACGATATCTCTTTAACATTCAACAGACAAGACTTAGTTTATTTGCAAGAGCATTATCAAAGATTTTTTTCAGAAAATGTGATATTCTTCTCAGCAGCCCCAGGGCTTCTTGGAATTTCTACTAATAATTCCAGATATTTGAGTAAAATTACCAAGCACCCCTCATTCTGCAGATAAAGAAACAAAAAGTAATTTTATTTGACAATGAGATTGTAACAGATCATTCATGTACATGATGAATGGGCATTAGAAGGAGTGGGAGTGGGAATATCTCTCTAAGGGCCACCAAGCATGAGACATAATTAGGTGCAGTCACCCTTCAGTGCTATTCAATCACGGCATTCATCCGCCAGAGTGGGAATGTGGTTTCTCAATTCTTCTCAAGGCACTGCTCCAGGTAACCACTATTGATGGATTGAGGTTGATGTAAAAGAGAAAAACAATTTGCATTTCTGGAGATACAAAATGTTTTCATATCTAAGTGATCATTATTCAAAGTTCTGTCAGTTATTTTATTGGGGAACGGAAATCAAAGTTATCATAAGGCCAAATTATTTACTCAAGGGCCAACCTCTTATAACTTAGTGTCCCTTCCCCCCACCCCAAAATCCCTCTCCACTGACTAGACATGCAAGTATAATGTCAATCAACTGCAATTTTTTCAAATGATGCAAGATCCATGAAATCAGTGAAGAGATGTGTGATAACTTCTAGAATCAAATGCAAAGCCATTTGCAAATGAGGATCTGACAAAATTAAATAAATAACTGAGGAAAAGACACTTAACAAGGGAGATGACAGGATAAGAACCTCAAAAGAAAATGATTTTCATATCAAGACCTTTAAAAAAGACTTCGAGAAAATTAACGAAGTCTGTAAATATTTTTGCAAGGATGATACTCTTTATAATCTGCAAACCTAAAATGTGAAATGAAGGATATCATATTATACTATCAAACAATTTTGTCAGAAAAAATTACTCCAGAAAACAACCTGGTTTATTTCTTATTGATTCTTAGAATTAAAGCCCTGTGTATACATTATTAAATAGAACAGATTCACAGTTTTAGCGTAGTTTCATTATTCATTGTTAATTTCAGTCTCCATTTAAGTTTGATTCACCACGTGACTTTTCCCCAGGACTATTTATTCTCTGATAATAAGGATCTTCTGTAAATAGTTTGAACTTGAACACCACTGCCCCTACACACACTGATAATCTTTCACTAAGATGACGTGTTTTCGGTACATCTACAAAATTATAGTGGGCTCTGCTATCTTTTTCCTTCCATTTAGCTATTAACGGCTATATGTATGGCAAGCAGCCAGGCCTAACCATGTGCAAAAAGGATAGAGTTTCCTGGCATATGATTGGAATGGGCACCAACACTGACATGCATGGAGTTTATTTTCAAGGGAACACCATCCACCTACGAGGGACTCACCGCGACTCCCTGGCCCTGTTTCCCCATGTCTCCACAACAGCATTCATGCAGCCGGACCATGCAGGTAAACTGAGGGCCAGCTCAGGTGATCAAATTCCTATCTTCAGGCATATACTCTTTTTTTTTAACATCTTTATTGGAGTATAATTTCTTCACAATGGTGTGTTAGTTTCTGCTTTATAACAAAGTGAATCAGCTATTACATATACATATATCCCCATATCCCCTCTCTCTTGTGTCTCCCTCCCACCCTCCCTATCCCACTCCTTTAGGTGGTCACAAAGCACTGAGCTGATCTCCCTGTGCTATGCAGCTGCTTCCCACTAGCTAGCTATTTTACATTTGGTAGTGTATATATGTCCATGCCACTCTCTCACTTTGTCCCAGCTTACCCTTCCCCCTCCCCCAGAAGAAATTGTTTGAATTAGGGCACTTCTGGGTGTACAGAAAGAGATATAGTCCTGATTAGAATCAGAGAATCCTGACTATTTTATTTCAAATATATAGTGTAAAGGACAAAGGAAAGGTGTCTAAAATAACATCCACAAAGCAGAAGTGGGAGTACTCCAAATGACCTCGCCTCACAAATCCTAGAAGAATGCTCTGGATTTATATCCGTGAGCAATTCAGGCCAAGAAAGAGGAATTTTTGTTGTTGTTCTCTTTAAGCACAAACATCAATTTAGTTACTGCTCTGAAGCATCAACCAGGCATGAGCAGCCCGGTGGTTGCTTCCAGGTTATGGACATGAACTTGTCTGCCTTCTTTAGTGACTGATGGTGGTCTCTTGATGAGTCCCAGATGGGGACTTCCCTATTTTCATTCTCTTGGGCACCCAGAAAGCAAGCTGCATTGGGTCTTAAGTTCATGGAGAGCCCATTGAAATACCAGTACCTGTCCCTTCTCTTAGTGATTCCCAAGCTAATTATATAACGGGGGCATTTTAATAAAAGATATAGAACAATATATAGCAGCATATGCTGTCTCATGAAAAGTAAGAATAGCAAGTGCTATGGGTGTTCAACATGTTTCTCCAACCCAACTTTTTCATTAGTCTTAAGAAGAAACCAATATTCTACCCAAGATGAGTACTTGCCAGCTCCGTCTCCTTTATGAATGGGTATTTGCTCCTTTACTCCACACTAGAACTGCAGTTTAGATGCCTCTCCGTGTCACTGGTTAAGAACTTGAGGTTTGAGCTTCAAAACTTTTGCCTAAGAACTGTCTCAGAGTAGGAGCTGCATAATCCTTGTCTTGTAAACTTCTAGTATTCAACATTTCTATATTAATACAATTGATCAATTATGAATCATGCCAAGGGATGCCTTGGGAACAATGATCTTTTTTTTAATGCACTCTTCAAGACCAAAGAGGGAAGAGGAGGAAAACAGCCAAATAGGTTTAACCCGTAGAAAGAGGCATTCAAAACTAGAGATGGCTGGAATAATTTTAGGGTTTTGGCTACTTACTCATGTGCCCTACAGGCTTCTAAAGAGCTACATGACGATGTTTTCCAGTTTATATTTGGTGGTGAGTATAAATCGGTTATTGCTGAAAAGCTTAGTTATTTCACCAATTCCTGTCCCATATCTCTAAGCCAAAAGGAGTGCCCAAAACATGGGTAGAGGAGCCTGTCAGTTGCAAGTCAAACGTTTTCTCTTTGAATCTTTTTTTTTTAAACCACTTTATTAATGTATGACTGATACACAAAAAGCTGTATATTTAATATATGTAAATTGATGAGTTTGGAGAGAAGTATGCATCTGTGAAAACATCACCACAATCAAGGCCTTAAGCTCCTCTTTGTTCTTAGAGAAGATAATTCCTCATCTGTTGAAGGAATGATGAACACATCGATCATGAGCTGCCTGGAGACCCACATAGGCAGAGGAAGCTCTCGCCATGTCTGTCTTCCGAGGTATCTTCTCTCTGGTTTTATAGAGACCCTTCCTCATGATGGTCACCACGGGGTGCTAGGGTACCCCATGAACCAGTGGTTTGGGCTCATCCTGAAGGGGTAACTTGTCAGTATTTAGACATGTGTAGCATGATAGAAGCTATCTCTGTGCTTTGTAGGTAGTTAACGAGACCCGCACTCTCACTCACCTCTGAGAACAGTCTACTAGAGGAAGGGAAGATTTATTGATCCAATAATTTCACTGAAAGTTGATACTTCCCAATAATTTGGTTTTATGTGATTTTATGGTGAATTCAGTTAAGATATGTGTACCTGATGCCAAGGCATCTGGAAAATTCAGCTTAAAAATTATATTGTTCTCAGTCAGACATGATTGTTGGTTTTTCTTTTCATCTGGCATCATGTAGACTTACCATTGGAAACAAGACCATCCTCTGCTCAAGGGCTTAATGAAGAAATACATTTGGCTTTAATAATAATACCTTATTTGTGTATTGTACTTTACAGCTTATGAACACCTTTAGGGCAAAAGTCATGACTTCAGAAACGTGACCTAATTTGAATTTTGTCTAGAATATTCATCTTACGGATAATGAGTTCCTTTTAAACTGGGTGGGGCGAAGATAATCATCACCTATCAGTGATTTTCTAGGAGTGACCATCTTCTAATAGGTGTGTACAATAGGGAAGACCCAGAGAAATCACCTGTTGGCAACAACTTTGCAAGTTTTATTTGTCCATGACAAATGAATTTCAGATGGTATTTTTTCCCCATAAGTAAATATATTCAGAGTAATTTATTCCCCTTGGTGTCTGATTTTTAAATACTATATAAAGATGATATTTTAAAAATCCACCTTATCGGTTATTTTGAAATAAATTACATAGGTTTGCTAACAAACCAAAATCAAACCTCGAGCATCGCACACAACGCCAAGCTATTTCTCTTCCAGGCATCTTCAGGGTGTTTTGCTCCACCCTGTACCACTTCCAGAGAGGCATGAATCAAATATATGAGGTCAGCAGCTGCGGCAACAAGGACCCTTCTGAACAGCCGTACGGGATGATAAGAACCTTTTACATCGCCGCTGAAGAGGTAGAATGGGATTATGCCCCTAACAAAAACTGGGAGTTCGAAAAGCAGCACTCGGACGGAGGATGGGAAAGGTACCACAGGCGAAGCCGCCGCGGAGTCTCTCGGGTGGGGTCTCACATGCTCCGTGGACGTTTGTCAAATGTGGAAACTAAAAATGCCCTGGTTTTGTCTGCCCAGTTCTGGCAGACAAGAGATTTTATTCCGGGGCACGAACGCTTAGGGAAACTGCCCTCTGCGTCCCGGGAAAGGGTCTGAAGTCATTTTAAGGGCGCTCCCGCGGCGGGCTCCGTCCACATCCGCTGGCTAGTTTCAAGGGTGGCTGTCGAACCAGCGAATGTGGCTTTGAGTGAGCGTCTGGACTGAAAGGGTTTGGGCAAAGAGGCCCATCTCACAGTAATCCTGGGAGGACAAAAGGATGCAGAGGGAGGCAGAGATGGTGCGTAGATCTGGGGTGAGAGGATGGGCAGCTGTAGATTGAGGACCGCGGGGGCCGTTGGCCGAGCGCTGACCGTGGGGGACAACCAAGGAGCACGTAGGAGGCATTGGCAGAGATCCCCGAGTTGGGACAGGAAAAGCAGTTCTCTTTGGATGACCTGGTACCCAGAAAGTCCGCCAGATTGACCCTCCTGGGCAGGACTGTCGGCCAATGCTAAGCACCAATGAATGAGCGGAGGCAATGAGATGCTGGGGTAACACCCAGGCATTGGTTTTGTTTTTTTTTTTTTTTTCCGGTACGCAGGCCTCTCACTGTTGTGGCCTCTCCCATTGCGGAGCACAGGCTCCGGACGCGCAGGCTCAGCGGCCATGGCTCACGGGCCCAGCCGCTCCGCGGCATGTGGGATCTTCCCAGACCGGGGCACGAACCCGTGTTCCCTGCATCGGTAGGCGGACTCTTAACCACTGCGCCACCAGGGAAGCCCGGCATTGGTATTTTTAAAAGCTCCCCAAATAATTCGAATAGCAGATTCTAGATTAAGAACCACAGCACGGGGCTGTTTTGTTTCTCTTCTTACGTGGCCTGTTTTGAGGGTTCAGGCTAATGCAAAGAATGTAATGGTGCCACCTTATGGACAAATGAAGAAACACAATGACTCTCCATTTTTAAAAGATTTGCCTCAAGGACAGGACGGTTTAAAATTCATTCAATGATTCACCAACCCAGTTTGCTGAACCAGACACCCCTCCTGCTAAACCAGTGCCGCCAATACAAGTTAAAGACTGATACTGCAGTAGAAAATGAAATGAATATTAATTTTGCTTTTTATAAAATGATTATTTCATTAACAGGCTGCCATCACTGAAGAAATCATCGTATAATAATTTTGTCACGTGTACAGTCTTAGCCCATGAGTGTGTAAGAAATTTATTTTCTTGAAACTCAGTGTAATTTCTGTTCTCAGCCCCTTCCCTCCGGGCTGGCAGGAAGAGCTAGCTTTGGTCTTCTGAGATTGTCTCCCAAGCTGCATTGAGAGATAGACAGAGGGTGCTGAGGGTGTCTGCACCCTGCCCCTGCCACTGTGGATTGTGCCCATAAATCAATAAAAACAAAGTGAGATGAGAGCATTTTCACCTATTAAAAACACAACAGATCTGTAGATAAAAGTGCAGTACAGAAATGAAATGCCAAGTCATCCCAGTGGCAATCTGTGGCACCCCTGTAGATCAGAGCCCAGGAACGAATGCCCCTCTGCACCCCAGTTGCTATGCCTCTGCCGTTTGACCCAAGGCCATATCATAGGACACCTCTAGTTTTCAGACTACCCCTCAGTATGTGTTTTCCCTGAGACATTTATTGTCCTGGTCAGCACAGACCCTCTGCCTCAACTTGGAACCTGGAAGTCTTTCCCAGAAAGGCAACAAATGGGACCATTGGCACAATGCCAGGGTCTGTGCAATGAGAAGGAGTTTGAAAATAGAGAGTAGGTTGCTATAGAGAAATAAAGTTATACCTAGCACTCCTGAGCTTGTGGACTGATATGCATGTAATTTAACTAACCTGGGATTCCAGACAAGACTCGCCATCTACCTAGGGTCTGTCATACAGAGTGAAATAAGTCAGAAAGAGAAAAACAAATACCGTGTGCTAATGCACATATATGGAATCTGCAATAACAGTACTGATGAACCCAGGGACAGGGCAGGAATAAAGACGTGGACGTAGAAAATGGACTTAAGGACACGGGGGGGAAGGGGAAGTTGGGACGAAGTGAGAGAGTAGCATGGACATATATAGACTACCAAACATAAAATAGATAGCTGGTGGGAAGCAGCCGCATAGCACAGGGAGATCAGCTCGGTGCTTTGTGACCACCTAGAGGGGTGGGACAGGGAGGGTGGGAGGGAGATGCAAGAGGGAGGGGATATGGGGATATATGTATACGTATAGCTGATTCACTTTGTTGTACAACAGAAACTAACCCAACATTGTAAAGCAATTATAGTCCAATAAAGAGCTATATATATATATATATATATATATATATATATAAAAAAGACTCGCCATCTATTGAGCACCCCCCATGAGCGAGGCATTTTACTAGGCCTTTTACAAACCCTATCTGATATGACCCTCGCCACACACTTGACCTATTCCATCAGCTCTGGCCCAGCATAATCATGTGACATCCTAGTGAGATGATAGAGCAAGCGCTTATGTGTTTCTTAATAGGTGTCTGACACAGACACAGCTTTACGGGTCTTAACTTATATGATCCTCACACCAGTAGTCCTGGGAGGTAGATGAATTATCATCACGTCATTTTGCAGAGAAGGGAAGCTGGAAAACAGCAGAGGTGGCTCGAGAGTCTGTGCTTGTCGCCACCACATGTTACTAGGACTCCTGGAAAAATAAAAGTAGGAGAAAAATTCTCTTCTCTTGGAAAGCACACAGTGGTGGGTAGAAGATATACATGCATTTGTTAACTACCTACTGTGTGCTAGGCATTGTGCAAAGTGCTGAGAAGGGCACACAAGGTCCTTTTCATACAGAATTCATGGTCCATGGGGCAGACACTAGAACAAGCACACTGAGTCATGCAGTCACTGTGGGGAGGGAAGCCCCATCTTGGGGGAAAGGCGGGGAGAGGGTAGGTGATCAGGGAAAGCTTCTGGGAAGAAGTAGTCTTTGAGCTGGGACACGAAGAGAGGGTCAGTTGAAGAGGTGGAAGTGTGCTCTCAGCACAGGAAGGCAGCAAGTGGGTGCCTGGAGGAGTGGAGGGCACGTGGAGCTCAAGAGAGTGAATGTTTAGAATGGCATGAGCATAGGGCATGTGGGGGGCAATGATAGGAAACCAGGTTTGGGAGGTTGGCAGAGGCAGATAGGGAAAGGGTATGAGAGCTAAATTGAGGAGTCTGCCAGTGGGAAGCCTTAAAAAGCTTTTCCACAAGGACCGACCAACATGTTCAAATTTGTGGCTTAGGATCACTCTGCCTGCAATGTGGAGCAGCGGTCCCCAACCTTTTCGGCACCAAGGACCGGTTTCGTGGAAGATAATTTTTCCACGGAAGGGGGAAGGCGGGTGGATAGTTCAGGCAGTAACGCAAGCGATGGGGAGCGGCAGATGAAGCTTCGCTTGCTCGCCTGCCACTCACCTCCTGCTCTGTGGCCCGGTTCCTAACAGGTCGCGGACCAGTACCGTACCGGTCTGTGGCCCAGGGGTTGGGGACCCCTGGAGTAGAGAATAGAGAGAGGAAAGGAGCACTGGAGGCAGAGAACATGGTTAGGAACGATTCCCGTTAATACAGGTAAGTGATTAGATTAGGTAGGTGGCTTAGAGTGTCGGCAGTTTAATAGTAGGGAAATGGAAGGATATGAGACACACTGTATTTGGAGATAAAGTCCATAGATTTGTTTCTATCTTCTGTGATGATCTAGCTTGGTGCTTTTGTGATCACTTGCAGATATGAATAAAGCAGTAAAAAATGTATGTCCCTTGATGTTCACATTCCCAGCAGAGGTCAAACCAACAGTGCATCCTTCTGCCTTCTTGTTTCAGCTCTCCTACAGAAACGAGTGTCCTCTTGGTCATCTGTTTAGTGCCACTTTGTTTTCTTCTTTGTGCTTTCTGTTGGTGATTTAGCTGTTTAAAATGGCTCCCCCAGCTTGGGGCTGAAGTGCTGTCTAGGGTCCCTTAGCACGGGAAGGCTGTAATGTGCCCTTACAGAGTAAATACAGGTGCTAGATAAGCTTCATTCAGGCATGAGTCATAGTACTATTGGCCATGAGTTCAGTATTTATGGATCAGCAATATCTATTGCATAAGATGTCTTTAAACAGAAACACACATCAAACAAGGTTATATATTGATCTGTTGATGAAAATATTGTGACCCGAGGTTCGAAGGAACCTAACCCGGTGTTTCCCCTAGGAAAAATGGTTCAGTATTTGTTCATTCAGTGTTTGGGGTGACTCTCTAGAATGTAACTACTGTGAATAACAAGAATCAACTGTATCTGTATTTAGGGAATTCCCTGATGGTCCAGTGATTAGGACTCTGCACTCTCACAGTTGGGGTCCAGGTTCAATCCCTGATCAGGGAACTAAGATCCTGCAAGCCGTGCAACATGGCCAAAATATATGTATCTATTTGTATGTCTATGCACAATACACAACCCACAGACTTTCTTGAGCTCTTTAAAATGGAAAAGCATAACAAGGTACAGAATGAGACATATAAAATCTGGAGGAATGCAGGGTGGTAGAATGTGTGTGTATGTGCATGGGTGAGCATGTGGGTGAGGTTAGTTAGTTCCAAGAAGAGAAGTGCAACCTCAAAGGGCTCTTATGAGTCTCTAACTAAAGCTGGTCAGGGATTGAGTGCCAGTAGGGCTTTAGAGCAATGGTTCCCAAGAGTGGACCATAGTCCAGTGCCGGACTGCCTACATCTGAGCACCCAGAGATGCTTTCAAATGCAGAATCCTGGTCCCACTCCCCGAGAGCCTGGTGCAAAAAACCAGCTCCCCACAGAGATCCTGATTGCTGCCAAATTTGGGAAGTACTGCTCCAGTGCACCCCCGAATCATACAGAAGCACTCAAGGATTTTCTTACCCTCTAACAACTTTAATTCCTGTTGCTTCTGATTTGCAGACATGGAGATATATGTATGAACCACACTGAAAACTGGATTGGCTCTCAGTACAAGAAAGTGGTTTACAGGGAATACACCAATGGAGAATTTGTGGAGATCAAAGCCCAACCGCCACAAGAGGAACACTTGGCACTCCTGGGTATGGCACAGATCGCAGCCGTGCACTGCCAGCACACACACACACACGCACACACACACACACACACACACACACACACACACACGTCTGGTTAGACTTCTGCCCAAGAAGGGATGGAAGGAACAGAGCAGCCTGACTGCATTCATCCAAGTAGGACAACTTCCTGCTCTCCCGTTATCAGGGAGTGTGCTGCATGCTTGGCTCATACAAACAGTAGCCGTAAGAAGACTACCAGATGATGCGCAAACAGGAATTCATATCATCAGGGCAGTCTAACCAGTACCTGTTGCCCTGAAGTTCCTTTGCCACCCCTCTGCTGAGCCAGGAAATTTTCATCTGAAACAAGCTGATGCCTCAGAACAGCAGGCAGAGTGTTTGCATAACTTCACCAAAGTTCTCAATCATCCATGCACAGCGCCTTACCAACACACCATGAAAATCATTCTGACAAAAGAGGAACCCCTTACTTAAGAGAGGTGCTTGGGTGAACGGCCTAGATTCAGTTCCAGGGGCCCTAACTCCTGGCCTTCTCAGAACCGACTCTGCCTGTGTGGGCTACCTGACCTGGAGATCAGATAAGCTCTTCCTGCTAACCTTCCCCACTTTTCTTCACCTGAGCATCACCAAACCTGACTCCATTACGAAGATGCCATCTTAAAGCAGAGGGCTAATCTAGAGGACTTTTAGAAATCCGTCTCCATTTTTAAAAGTACAAGGCAACTTATATAAATAGTAAGGCTGTAATGTGTTTTATTATTAAAATAAGGCACCACGAGGTTACTAGATTCATAAATTATGAGACAGCCCGTCCATCTTCACCATCTATTAACATCAGCTCCCAAGCTTGTTTGTCATACCAAATGAGTAATCTCCCACGGGAACATTCCTTCTTTTGAGCCCTGTGTGTGGCCAGATCTCTGAAGAAAGGGTGCTGATCTTGCGGAGGCGGCTGGGCTGCACCCCCACCCCCCAAGAGCCCCGGTTTGGTTTGCTCAGTAAAATGACACAAACCAGCGACTTCATCAGAGGCAAGCCCAGCAGCACTTCAGCCAGTGGAGCGGGAGGCCCATCTATTCATTTTCTGCAGCTCAGGGAGAGGTCTGCATTCCTGAAGCTGCAAAGGGCACAGGACAGGCCCGCCTCTGGTCATTACTGTTCCCTGTGACCCACCAGGCGGTAAATCAGAAAGCATCTGCTCCCTCTCACCAATCCAGCAAGGCATGTGCAATTTACGTGGTCGTGTATACATAAATAGTGATCTTAACATATGTATGCACATGCCCCATCTGTAACTCTACCCCAAACTACTGCTTAAAAACATGCCTAGATTTTTCTTTTCTAGATTTATCATTAAAAGAGTGCTTTTCAGACACTTTCTGATTCATACTAAATATTTCTTCTGAAGACAATAATAGTCCAACAAATTTTAGATTTATTTAGGCCTTTCATCAGTAAGGTTATCCCTTGGTATCCACAGGGGATTTGTTCCAGGACCTCCATGGGTACCCAGATGCTCAAGTCTCTTATATTAAATGGCTTAGTGCTGTCGGCCCTCCGTATTCATGGACTCTGCATCCACTCATACGGACAGCCAACTACATTTCTCAGAAGAGCAATTAAAACCATGGTTTGAACCAGTGAAGAATGGATGGGTGTGGTCTGACTCTCAACCGTGGTATATCTCCCTATGAATGTAGAATGCAAATACATATTGAGAACCACTGAGATTGGGTCTGATGTGCTTCCAAGATGGAAGTCTGTTTCCACCTCTCTCAGGCAATGCCTTGTGCAGACCCCTTTGTGTATGATACTTTGTCAGTGTGGCTGAGCAAACTAGGTTTGTGGCACATTCTGGGCACCAAGAGGCACCTGTCATAGGTGAGGGTCATCCCACAGTAACGTGGGTGCAGGCCTCTTCAGAGATGTGTGGGCCTATTTCCACTGGCACTCAGGCTGGTTGCTTGTAACAGAAATGTGTACACATGAGGTGCTGAAAAGCACATGTCTCATGCAGGTATCCAAATACTGAGAAACAGCATTGGACATTTGGACATGCATTAGTGAAATCACTGTATTGGTCATACATCAATACATATGTTTTAATTTTGTTATCTTAGCAATCCCTTTTATACACATCATTTCATTGTATCCTCACTATTATATCCATTAACCAGATAATGAGTAGTTTTAGGCTTACCAAAGGTTACACACAGAGGGATTACAACTGAAAGTCACCATATCCTACATCATTAGTATGCATGGAATTATATATATAAAATATACATATATTTTAATTTAAAATTTTTAAATTGACATTATATTTTCATAGTCATTTGTTTTCCAATCCCTTAATGATAACAAAACGGGCACTTGTTTCTGAAACAAGTGTCCTGTGGCTATAGCTTTTCCTGGAGAGTATGTCTCAGCAATATAAAAGTTTAAGCATTTATTGAGTATTTACTGTGCTTCAATCCTTACTGTAACCCTCTGAGAAAGGTGTTATTAAACTCATGTTACAGATAAGGAAGTTGACTCAGGTCACTTAACTTACTCAAGGCCTCTCCAATAAGTAAGTAAAGGAGGCAGGATTTGAACCCAGGCTGGTGCAATCGCCAAACATGACGTGATATTTAATGCTATCAATATCTCCCTCTAGAGGAAATACACTAATAACGGTGCTAACCTTCGTTTATTTTGTCAAATACTACCTACATGTAAATTACACCAATGTTGAAAAGAGCAACGACAATGCACACAGGTCTGTGTTTTGCCTTCAGGCCCAATGATTCATGCTAAGGTGGGCGACTCCATCCTGATCATATTTATGAACAAGGCCAGTCGGCCCTACTCCATCTCAGCCCACGGAGTGGAGGACATGGAGAGTGGGAAAGGACTCCCAGTGCCTGTCACAAAGCCAGGTAACTTACCCCACAGATCTGCTCCATCCCGATGAATACTGCAGACTCAACTCTTCTCTGATCTTTTCTGAACTCTGAAGGGTTTTGGAGAGCTCATTGTAATGTTAATGTGTTCCAACCATTACCCCAATATGAAATCACCATTCACCCAATGACCAAGTGCTTATGGAGTTCCTACAGCTCCATTAGGAACCTTAAAGGGTATTAAGACATAACAGCTAACACATATTCAGTGTTAACATTGTGCCAGCTTTTACATTTAAAACAAAAATTTTTAAACTCATTTATCCTTAAAATAACCCGGGGAGGTAGACACTAACATATTTCATTTAACCTGATACCATCAATTGTAATGGCCATGATTACTTTACCTGTTACTAAAGAAAGAAAAGAAAAAACATGCTGCCAATTAAACTTTAACATGCCACTGATTGAAAGATGCATCCTGACATCAGATGTGCTAAATTGTGAAAAATGTGCATCCTGTAATTGATGAAGTATGGTAGTTATGCCCATTTAACAGGTGACTGAAGCAAAGAGGAGTAAAGAACTTAACCACATCAGACGTTAGTAATAGCGGAACTCAGTTTGTTTGACTTCAGGACCTGAGCTCTTAACCACACATTTCTCTCAAGATGTTTAAAATGAGTTTGATAGAAAAAAAGATGAATCATTTCAGCAAGAGTGCAGATTACGCAAGATGAAATTCTAGGTGGTGAAGAATTTCAAGAATATATCTGAGAGTGTTGATAAAATTTCAGAGAAGGAAAACCCGTGAAGACTGATTGTCTAATTAGGAACAATTAGGGAAGGCTTTATAAAGGAGATAGAACTCCAGCTGGCTTTTAAAAGATGCATTGAAGGGAGAGAAGAGCTCACAATTTAAGGAGCTTCCATAATATTTACACAGTTAAAGTGTGCTTGTGATAAATTTCAAGAGCCCCTGTGACCTTCAGTTATGAAATTGATAGCAACCATAGGTATAATTACAGGGGAGTTATATTCCATTTTACCTCTGATGAATACATAATAGCATTATAATAATGCTATATAATTGCAATAAAGGTCATATAAATTTTTAAAAATTTAAATAGGTATAAAGAAAAGAAAACAATCTAATGCATCACTAGAAAAAGTTAGTAAGGTATCTATTCAAGGTTGGGTTGTGGGAAGGAAAATCGTTATTGGCTACTATTCCAACTTCTGCCACTCCCTACTCCCAGTATCAGAAGCTGCTTCAAGAAACTTCTCATGAACATCTAAATGTCTATCTACAGAGAGATAGTCAATTTTGGAATATTCTTAGAATGGACCATTGTACAATCATTAAATGACATTTAAGAAAGTTTTAATAACATGGGAAAGACTTGTTAAGCAAAATACAAGCATAGAAGAAAGACCAGAAGGGAAATAAGCCAAAATGTTAATAATGGTTTTATCTTTGTGGTGGTATTTTAAACAGCAGAGTGATCATCTTTTCTACTTCCTCACATTTTTTATACCTTCTAGGTTTTCTCTAATGGATGTGTCTTGCTTTGATGAAGAGGAAAATGGTTTAAAATGGATCAAAAAAGCTATTAAATATATTTATTTTTGATGGTTGAAAGCAACTCTAGAGGGAGGAAGAAAGGTGCCTATTAGCCATGGGGAGTGGGGAGCTCTGGTAGGGCTGTGGGCAAGTTGGTGTGACCCCTCCCAGGCTGTTGTGCCCTGGTGGTGAGGAGTGGCAAGGGACACAACTTCTCTATGCTGACTGGCCTTCCAAGAGTCCTAGATGTGAGGGTTATGAGAGTAGGGAGAAAAATGTTTAGAGCATGGCAAAGGAGAAATTATTACTATTTTTTTACTGGAACTCAGAGGGATTCAGTCCCCACAAGGGTCTCTAATAAGGCAGAAAGATTTGGAAGAACCCAGAGATTAGATGTAGGAGCAATAAACTAACCTTGTGCAGGAAGTCCAGGCAACTTGGAGAAGAAAGTTTAATCGGGGCATGCATGCGATGAAGAGAGCAAACTAGCATTTTAAGAAAAGTAAGCCCCTATCAGTTTTCTCCTCCCCCTCCCCCTCCCCCTCCCCTCCCCCTCCC